TACAATATGTACATGTAATGGATTCAACTTGCACCCCCTAAATCTATTAAAATAGAATTTTAAAAAAAGGTGAGACAGTTTCAGCCAACCACATATGCAGTCCTAGAGCAGTTACCTTCCATATTCATCAGCCACCACCTCACCCCTCCCCATATGCTCCTCATATTCTAACCACCTAAAGCCCTTACTTACCATTCTCCAAGCAAAGCCAAGACTGCAGTTTTTTTTTGTTTTGTTTTGACAAGAGTCTTGCTCTATTGCCCAGGCTAGAGTACAGCGGCATCATCACAGCTCACTGCAACCTCAAACTCCTGGACTCAAGTGATCCTCCCACCTCAGCCTCCTGAGTAGCTGGGACTATGGAACCGCACCACCACACCCAGCTAATATTGTAGAGACAGGATCTTGCTCTGTTGCCCCGGCTGGTCTTGAACTCCTGGGCTCAAGTGATCCTCCCGCCTCTGCCTCCCAAAGTGCTGGATCACAGGCATGAGCCACCACACCCAGCCAAAGCCTGCACTTTACCGCCTATACCTTTCCCTTTAATCCTCTTGCTAAAATTCTGTTTCTTTAAGACTCAGCTCAAATACCACCCAACTCATAATTCCTCTGCGTCCTCTTGCTTCTTTCTTTAAACCTCCTCTGGTATTTCCTGGCTTTCATTTTGCATTTGCGTCACAGAGCCCCGCACCCACCCAGGGACTTCGGCTCCACTCAACTATCTCCCTGATGGGCCTGGAGGTAAGCGCTGCCACTGTCCAAACTCCCTCCCTCTCTTCCCACCCCCCTCAGCCCCCCAGAGCAGGGGTCGTGGGGAGAGCACGCTGCAGAAGATCAGCCACCTTGACACTGTAACTGCACTGCCTCTTGTGTGAGCACGACGAGTGGATGCGTCAGGACGTGAAATGCAATTTTTCCCTGTGTTTTCACTAATGCACTAAAGATTTGATTCACATGTGTTGCTTGTCTGCCTCCTCTTATCAGCAATGTAAACTCCACAAAGGCAGGGATTTTGTCCGTTGTGTCCCCGTTGCACTCTCAGCCAGAGGTATAGCGCCTGGTACAGAGCAGGCACTCAATGAATCGTCGTTGAATTAATTAATTTGTCTCAGGCAAGAGGAACAAGAGAGATCTCAAAACAAAATCATCTTAAGTCTGCAGAGAGAGATGAAATAACAACTACCCAAATTGCCAGAGTATCCCAGCAATTCTAGGAGTCTCCAAATCCACCAACAAAAACGCTCTAAGAATACTGGGGACATGCACGCCACCACCAAGTGGTTGTCTGTCCATCTGCAGACCCACGTACCTGGCCCTGACGACACACACACATCTTAAGATGCACACGTACTTTTCCCAAGCCTCCTCTTCACTAAATTTCCCTGGATGTGTGTTAAGGCTGAATTGTATCCCTCCCCCCAGAATTCATATACTTAAGTCCTAACCCCCAGTTCCTCCGAATGTGACTATATTTGGAGAGAGTGTCTATAAAGAGGTAATTACAGTAAAATGGGGTCATTAGGGTGGGCCCTAATCCACTATGACTCATGTCCTTGTAAGAAGAGGAGATTAGGGCACAAGACACACACACAGGGAAGACCATGAAGACTCAGGGAGCAGATGGCCACCAACAAGCCAAGGAGAGAAGCCTCAGAGAAAACCAACCCGCCAACACCTTGATCTCAGACTTTTAGCTACCAGAATTATGAGAAAATGAATATCTGTTGTTTAAACTATCTGGTCTGTGGTACTCGTTATGACAGCCCTAGGAAAGGAATGCCTGTGGATCCCCAGGGGAAATGTGTTTTTGTTAAGGATGCCCCAGCAGAAGGCAGGCTGGTAAACTGCTCAATAAATGGTACAAAGAGGGGGAAAAAAGAAAGAGACAAAGGCATAATGCATTGACATTTTTTATATTTGGTATTTGTAAGTCTTTAAAAAAATTTTTTTCAGGCCATTTTTTCCTTAAAAAAAAAAAAAAGCAACCAACAACAGCAATACTCTGTACAAGTATAACAAACATTAGAAATATGCATCATTCCAAAATAGTTACAAGAAAATTACAATTTAGAGTCCACATCAACGCATCCTATTCATATGTGCCCCCAGGGAGAAAAAGCTACAGTATGTGAAACACACAACCGCTACACAGTAGTCTGAAAAGCCAGCACTTGGACTTTGGAGGCAAATTAACATCAGTCACTGAGACTTATTTAGCTCAATAAGCACAATCAAGCACTTCAAAAGAAAACCAGGCTTTTGCATCCCAGGTGAAAAACAAACATGATCAGCTGCATAGGTGACCCCCACCGCCACCCCTGGGAGCTTCTGACTCAAGAAAGCACAAATCCAGTGAAGTCGATCAGGCCAAAGTCTGGCTGGAGGTCACAGTGTGGCCACGGTGGACAGACACCAAATGCCATTTCCTACTGGTGCCCATCATCATCAGATTCAATGCTGAAGGCAAAAGGTCCTTGTTCTTGGGAGAAGACATCAATGGCCCAAATCCCCCAAACCAGCCGGCCACCCTTCTTTGGCCCTTCCACTGACAGGCAGCCACACTGGCTCCTCTTCCGTATGCCCTCGTCAAAGACTGAGCAGGGGGCTCGCACTACCCCCGACTCCACTGGACTCTCCAAATTTTAGTTCGCTGTTGCTGGGAGCGTCTGAAGGGGCTCAGAAGCACCTTCCTCCTGCCTCTCAACAACCCCAGCCTGTGTGTCCTTTATATTTACACACTAATCCCTTTTCAAACACTGTGCTATAAATACCCTCACCACCCCCACAGCCCTGGCCCCGCCCTCTTCAGGAGGCAGGGAAGCATCGTGACCTTCGTGTGACCTGCACATTCGGAAGCCCAGACCCCTCCCGCACAAGACTTCCTCCCAGGGCAGCTGGTGCCGCTGCCTGGTGCCCAAGCCCATACCGGCCAGAAGGGAGGAGGGCTGCTGTGCTTTGCATTTTTATACAATGTGTTTGCAATTATGTTGCTTTAATCTTTTAAAGGATTCTAACCTTTTAAAGGATTTTTTAGGGACAAGTCCCTTCCTCTGACTTCTCCATGGCAGCGATGTGGGCAGGGCAGGGCTGAGGATCTCTGTGGGATCTACCTAGACACTCACCACGATGGTTTCGGACAAATGAGAAGGGAAGGGGCAGGGCCCACAGAACTGCTGCCTGGACAGGGACCTCTGAAAGAAGTTATGGGCCTCTCTGACATCTGCACCAGCTGGGGCCAGACCTGCATGAAGGTGTGGTCTGGAAGGAAGCAATC